TGCAATGGAAATCAGTACCAGAATATCAAGAAAGATTTCCACAGCGTCATTTGCCATATTATTCAGTTTTTAGCGCCAAGTCCTTCTTCCGTATCGTAAATATTCAAGCTCTACAGTCAGGAGACAATCAGCAACGGTTAGCATTTTGTGAATGGTTATTGCACCAACATGCCCAAAATAATGACTTCATTTCAAATGTTCCCTGGACAGATGAATCATGTTTTACATGAGATGGTATAAATAATTACCATAATGAACATATCTGGGCATTACAAAATCCGCATGCGATTAGACCAAGGAAATTTCAACAACGTTTCAGCATCAACCTTTGGGGTAGAATATTTAACAACAATTTACTAGGTTTGCATGTACTTGATGGACGTTTGAACGCTATAAATTACAGATTCTTTTTAACAATTCACTTTTTGATTTACTTGAAGATATACCTCATCGCGGAAGAGTAGTTGTTGAGTGGTTAAACCAATATTTTCCAAACAAGTGAACTGGTAACAATGATCCATTTGCTTGGCCACCTAGATCCCCGACCTTAATCCATTGGATTTCTACTTATGGGGTCATATGAAACAAATTGTGTATCAAGTGGAAATTAACACACGAGAACAGTTATTAAACAGAATACAAATGGCTGTTACTGAAATAAGAAATCAACCAGATATTTTAATTCAGCTGAAGAACTCTTTAATTCGTCGTTGTGAAGCATGTATTCTAGCAGAAGGAGGCTATTTTGAACAATTTTTGTAATATTTATGTGTTAATTATGATATAAAAATTAATTAAAGTGTTATAATTTCGTAAATAATTGAAATAGGACATAATTATGTCCTAAGCTATCATATGTCAAAGTTTGATGGTGAGCTAATAAATCACCCTGTATATATACGAGCTCTACAAACTTCATTTATTCCTTGTTGTTCAATTGTTTAGATTTTTTTTCTTTTGGGGCCATCTCAAAACTCTAGTCTACGCTACTTCAGTTGAAAATGTTGATCAATTAAGAGAGCGCATTGTTGTATCTTGCGAAATAATTGGGAACACTCCGGGAATTTTCTTGCGTGTTAGACAGTCAATGCGTCGAAGAAAGACAACCACTACCCCTTCAAAAGCTTCACCAATTATGACTTTAAAAATTTGTTTCTCGCACAAACGTAGCTTATTATGAGTAGAAAATGCTTACAAAAGCACAATAAACGGTTCCGGAGATATTCGCAAAAACTTTTTTTCAAATGTCCTGCGCATACATCTATTATGAAACAGCCTGTACAGCAATATTCCCCAAGATCAAGAAAATCCTAATCAAGCAGATGTCCCAAACTCTATGGTCTGCCCAAAATCCACATCGTTCGATGTCAAGTCTCTCTATCCTAGTATTCCCATCGAAGAGGCCCTCAAACAGATCAGAGAGAACGAAGATTTACCCAGCCACATCGTAGACCTTGCCAAACACTGCCTCATTAATGCATCATACGTTGTATTCGACGGCCAGATCTACAAGCAAGTATTACAAGGAGAAGCCGTGGGGGGTTCTTCACTATCCCCAGTCATCGCCAACCTAATGTGCTACTTCGAAAAGCGTTAAGAGAGGCCAGACACAAACCCAAGTTGTGGATGCGCTACGTCGATGATATCTTCGTCATTTACCCTTTTGGACAAGAAAAGCTTCATGACTTGTTCTTGTCAATCAAAATGAGTGTAAAAAAGATATTTTATAAAATAATGGACGAGCTTGTAGCAAGCAAGTATAATAATAAGTTTTATATCGACAAGGACAAATACGCAAAGTGGAATGGACGGAATGAAGAAATTAAGTATGTTGCTGTTGGACTCGGTGGAAGGACAAGGATGCTTGTTGAGGATATTATGACATATTTGAAGCTATGCCAACCTTGTCAAAAAAACAGAAGACTTTGAAAAGTGGCATTGAAATAACCGATGATTCTAATGTAAAAAAGAAAATGCAACTCAATCTCAACAGGTTTTTATAACTGAAAAGCTAATATCGAAAAAACAAAAAAGAATGTATTCTGGTAATAAGAAAAAATGCAAAATTCAATTTGGAAAACCAAGCTGAAAAAATGAAAACGACAGCAAATAAATATCCAAATTTAAAAGTTAGCCAAAATGTAAGGCTGAAAGTATCTGACATTGACAGAGCTAAAACTGACCCAAAAAGCATTATTGCAGTTGTGGTAGATGTAAAATACAACGAGCTTTACCAACTGGGTATGAAAATTGGTGTACTAAAGCAGCTTTATACTAAGAATCAATTTACCTCATGCTCTGAAGACTTTATAAAAATAGAAAAAGTTGTTAAAGATAAAGAAGTGACACATAAAGAAGACACATACGAATAGGTACCTGCAGGCTTCATCCCACCACCACCCACAACAGAAGAGGTTCGTGATTCAAGCCTTATTCCAGCGAGCAGAGAGGATATGCGATAAAGAGAACCTAAGAAAAGAAGAAAGATTCCTAGAAGATGTGCTGCAGAAGAACGGCTACACGCTGAGAGATATCCGACGATCCACCAAACCACACAAACAGAAGGATGACTCGGTAAGTACGACACCAGCCGGTTTTATCTGCCTTCCTTATGTTTCAGGTGTGACGGAGCGAATTGCGAGGCGTCGGAAGAAGAATGATATCGTGGTACGATACGGTACGGTCAGCAAAATTCAAAACGCTCTTCCAATAGCCAAAGACAAACTAACCCCATTAAAGGGAGCTGGAGTCTACCGGCTATCTTGCAGTTGCGGGAAATATTACGTTGGCCAAACTGGACATAACATCGAGTGCCGCATCAAGGAACACGAAAGAGACGTCCGACTAAGGAAGATCCAACAATCTGCAGTCGCAGAGCATTGCCACAAAGGAGGACACAGCATAGAGTTCGAAAAAACCAAAGTGCTAGCAAGAAACGGACATTACTTCCAAAGATTGACGAGAGAGGCGATAGAGATTCATCGACATGGGAATAACATGAATAGAGAAGATGGCTGGGAACTCAGCCGCACATGGAAGATGTTGGTGAACTCAACAAAACCTTCTCCACCCGGATTTGACAAAACAACTTAGTTGACAATTAGACACTAATTAGTAATTAATTACCTTTTCATGTATTTATTGTCAAATTTGAAAACGAATTCGTCACTTCGAACTTGTTTCTGAAGAAGGTTGCAACATGGCATCCGAAACGTCAAACATTTTGTCAAAAATCGCACGGCTTAACCTGAAAGATTCTAGGTCTAGTGTTAGTTCTTGTGATAGTGCTAGTGTTAGTTTAATAAAGAAGTGAGTCTTCGAGAAATTGTCTTTGACAGGAATAACTGCTTGAAAAAATGCTTATCAAAGAAATGCGCTTACAAGTCTCAAAACTAACATTTACGAACTGTTATTAGCAAAACTTAGCATGTACCAAATTCTATTGGTAAAAGCCAGAAAAATTATCTCTTGTTTAAAAAAATCCTCACATTTACCAACTCATATTGGTAAATCTTAAGATTTACCGTATTTCGGGCATTTNAGAGATTCATCGACATGGGAATAACATGAATAGAGAAGATGGCTGGGAACTCAGCCGCACATGGAAGATGTTGGTGAACTCAACAAAACCTTCTCCATCCGGATTTGACAAAACATCTTACAATTAGTTGACAATTAGACACTAATTAGTTACTAATTACCTTCTCATGTATTTATTGTCAAATTTGAAAACGAATTCGTCACTTCGAACTTGTTACTGAAGAAGGTTGCAACGTGGCATCCGAAACGTCAAACATTTTTTCAAAAAAAGCACGGCTTAACCCGAAAGATTCTAGGTCTAGTGTTAGTTCTTGTGATAGTGCAGTGTTAGTTTAATAAGGAAGTGAGTCTTTGAGAAATTGTCTTTGACAGGAATAAATGCTTGAAAAATGCTTATCAAAGAAATGCGCTTGCAAGTCCTTAGGACTACTTTGTAATTCTAAATGCCATAACAACTCTCCGTGTTCTAACAAGTAAAATGTTAAAAAAAATTATTATTTGCCCTCTTTTACTTTGATTAAAACGTAAGCGTTACCTTTCTGAGAAAATTGTTTCATTTTTGTTATTTATTTTTACTTTTAAAAAGTATTTTGAAAATGTTAAAAAAAATACCAAATGATAGATAATATTAAATAATTAAGCAATGTAAAGATTTTATAAATGATTAAAAAATATATTTATTGTTTTATTCTCAAAACTAACATTTACGAACTGTTATTAGCAAAACTTAGCATGTACCAAATTCTATTGGTAAAAGCCAGAAAAATTATCTCTTGTTTAAAAA